GGTTTTTTTTTTTTGGGGGGGGGGGGGGGGTTTACTTGAGGTAGCATCATGTATTTTTTATATTTGGTTGCATAATACAAGCAAAGTATTGATTTGTGTCGAAGTATCACTCAAACAATTAAAAGAAGTAGGAAGTTGAAACATGAGAAAAGTAGTGCAAATAGCTTTTGAAAATCATCTCTAGATTTACATATTTCAATTCTGAATCCTCAGCCAGGAGTATAGTTTCAGAAGTAGGTGCTATTCAAGGAAATAGAAATATAAAACCGACATTGTAATGGGTATTGGATTTATTTATGGTGGGTAAGGATCTAGTTATGTAGGATCCTTCAGACAATGTAGTGGGGAAATGGATTTATGTGGCCGACCTCAAATTTGTTGGAGCAAGGCTTATTTTGTTTTATGCTGTATTCCCTTTATTTGTGCAGTTGATAGTTTTTAGCGATTTGTTATTTTCATTCATAATTTGTTGACAGTTTTGATTTTACTGTTCGGATGAAACCATATATATACACACTTGCGAAACATGTATATAAATCTAGGATTGTGTATATTTATATGAGCTAAAATTGATGTGACAAGGTCTCTAAGACACTCCTAGAAGAAAGGGAGCTCGAGTTCTACCAATGGGAGGGAGATGCAGAAGAATTGTTGAAACGTGTTCGTAATAACCTAAACGCACTTGGAGAGGTAACCCACTAAATTCTCGAATGTGTTTGGCCTGCTTTAACTATGAAGGCATAACCTAATGATTCTATCTCTTATTTTGTACTATTTTTACTGCAGCACTGGTCGAGAGATGAGAAAAATAAATGCTTAAGAGAAGCAACAAAAGCATTCCGGTATTTGGGGCAGATAGTGCGGTTAATTATATTGTAAACTGGAGCCTTTTCAGCCAATAGAATCTTAATCATTCCTTGAGGTGAGCAACAACAAAGTCTTTGCAGGATCTCTCTGATCTTGAGATCAATGAAAAAGAGACTAATTGCTCGTGTTCATCTTTTCCTTCACTCACCAAGTTTCTGTAATTGTTAATTTAGGATTTCACAATCTAACATAGATAATTAGAAGTTTGTGGTTGCATATAGGGACTACACTTTTCATACATCCCAAGTTATCTTCTCTTATAAAAATGGTGATTTTTTAATTTTTTCAGATTGCCCTTTTTCACTGTCAAAGTTAAAAGAGTCTGACTACAAAACTTTTTGTTGTCAACGCCTTCTTTTCACTTCTTTTGTTGAGTTTACCCTTATTACAATTCTTCAATTTATTACCTTCTCCCAATTACCTACCTCATCCTCTCCCTACCCATTGGCCACCCCTTCCCCACCCTGCCCTCATTTAAACCGACATGGGGGCAGCATTAGGATGAGGGTGGTGAAGAAGGATCAAGGGATCTCATTTGAATTTTGACGAAGAAAAGGGACTACTTGATTCTGAAAGAAAGCCTCATTTCTTTTTCTCTCTCGAATATGTTCTTTCCCATAGAATAAGCTCTATAATAAGGCAGTAGATGGAAATCTTGTTGAATTAAATTAGGCTAATCTGGATGTAAAGAATTTCAACCCTGAAACATTTTGATCCCATCTCTGCTATTCTCTTGACCAGGCGATATTTAGTGGGGATTGTGGTCGCACCGGACCACCAAGCAATTTTCTAGACTGAATGCATTGCCTAGCAATGTATCAACAAATATGAAGGGACTCAATTTTCTGATTTTGATGCAGACTCAGACGTTACTTACATGAAATTCTTGATAGATAGCAATGCTCAGGAAAGAGAAATTGCTACTGCTCTTGGGCATCAGTGCCTTCTAGATTTCACTCTCAGCTTTTGTCAAGCTGAGCACTCAGATATTTGCATTAGATACCGGACAGTGGTATGTGTATACAGTGTATTGGAGGAAACTGTAGAAAGGGGTGTTGCTTGACTTCGAACGTTTCTCTTTAACTAGACTTTTGTGTAAGCTATAACTCTGCATCTCTGATAAAATTGCTTTAATTGCTGGTTTGGACTGTTGGTGCATTGATTGTTGTTCTCAGTGACTATATTGATCTTATACATTTATTTGTTTAAATTTCATATTCAATTCATCTCTCACATGCAGGTCAGTTTTTTCTTTTGCCAATTGGCTCGACACGTTCACAATTTTCACAAAACTGATAACAATACTTGATCCCAGGGCATTTGTCCGCTTGCTTTTTAATTTTCAAATTTTGTCTTGACATGTAAAATCGTAATTATTTGGATAGTGGGATTATTTCCTGCAAATGAATGGCTCAGGCCAAGAATGAAATGTACAATACATGGCATTTATCTGCAATGTTTAGAATCAGATCTCCACTTGTCAATTCTAGCCTTTCTATGATTTCTATCGAAGTGAATAAGACAGAAATAAAAAAGAAAAATTATAAACTACACAAAGGACAGAAGAAGTAATACTAATAGCACAATAGCTGCTGATGCCAGACGTTACATCTTGTGTGCACAAGATTGCACTTGCGAGGGGATGATGAAATTTCTATGCGTCGCTATGATATTCAAGTTATTTAGGTTAGCCGTGATGGTTAATTTAGAGGGGAGATATTGGCATATTGCCCAAATTTTGTTATCATTCACAATTAATACGTCAAAGTTTGTCTTGATAGTAGCTAGCATCCATCATTTGCGGCGCATTTCATATTTTAAAGTCTAATATAGTTTACATGAGGTAGGTCGTGTTAGATTTTGAAAGTTGCATACCAAAAATGAGTTGAGAGTTGTATTTATAGGTGTTCGTATCCCTCGTGATTGAATTTTGTAGTAAGATTGTATTTGACTCTTCATTGAGATTTATTTTATTACGTTACATTGTAAGTCCCTGCTGAAGTAAAACTATGATTTGATTATTGGCATGAATCATATTGATTATGGTCTATTCTTGAATGAAAATAAGAAAAAACAAAAAGCACAAGAGATGAACACTATCCCACGAAAGGCAAAACATATATTAACCCA